GTTAATTGTATAGATTCATTGACCTTGTTGGTCATACAGAAGGGTGTAAACACCCTTCTTGACAGATCAGACACATGAAAAAGGGGGGGCCACGATTTTTTGCATTTTTTATTCATATGGGATTGACTCGAGACTTCTACACATGTGAGTATTTGTTATGTAGGGTGTAAACCATTTTCTGGTAGAGAAACTTTATTCATATATTCACTCCATTGAATTTCTCAAATGGATGAACTACTACTTTTGAGTTTCAGTGCGGTCGTTAGTGACTGGACCTATCAATCATGCCCAAATATTGTGAACCGCAAGTCTGACTTGGCTCAGTCAGTGTCCACCACTGTCTAAAAATGTTGCTAGCAAACCAAGCCTGTCTTGGCTCAATCATGTCCACCAAGGACCATGACTCAGCCCTGTCTTAATAGACCCAATGGTCTACCGGGTCACATCCGTATGTTACCTAACCAGGTTACCACCCGACATTAGGGGGCCCATTTTTCCATATTTCTTGTTTGTGGGACCCTTCGTTAATTTCTCTGGGGATTAATGGCCAGACACGTTAATACAGTGGAGTGTGACTCATAGATTTGACTCTCTCAATATTCAAGGATAAAATCCAGTTTTTAGGAAAATAAAAAAAATTTTGCCAGAAAAATTGGAGAAGTAAAATGATCGACTTTATAATGAATTATTTATTGTAGAGGAATTTCATTATCGCTCATAATTACTTGAATTATTAGTATACACAAAATAAATAAATAAATAAATAATTAAAATGAAATCACCATACTGGGGACTACTTCAATGGTCCCGTCTTGATCTCCTCAGTACCCAACATTTGAGGACTTTGAGGTGTGTGAGTTCTCCCTCAAGAAGAAAAGTTTGTTGGTGTCCATTTTTATTTATTTATTTATTTACTCTCTCTCTCTTTTTCTCTCTCTCTCTCTCTCTCTCTCTCTCTCTCTCTCTCTCTCTCTCTCTCCATATCTTAATTACTCGTAAATTAGAAATTGTTGTCTCATACATTGAATTTTCTAAAAATTCTTCCCAATTGTGAGAGAGTCTCGAGAAATGTGATTTGGAGATCATTTATAGTCTACCTAGTGCAGTATCTTGATTTGATTACTTCATGCTCTTTTGTATAATTCCAAGCATGAATTTTATGAATGCACTTGACATTTCATGCGTGAGAGATATGTATTATCATTGTTGGCTTTATGGCCCATATTAGGAAAAAAAAATTTGTTTCCTTATTTTCATGTAATTTTATTGAACATATATCATTTCTTTATTTTATATTATTTCTATCTTTATGATATGGTATGTAACTATAAATAATGTCCTTTTCTGTCAGTTTAATTCAAGCCAAAATTGCTGTGTTGTATTTTTTCTACATAGTAACGTTATAATAAAATATTGTTTCCTATGCTTGACTCTCTTTGATTTCTTTACGTTAAATCTTATTTCATCTTTATGATCTGTTACATATTTCATACAACATTATTAATCTCAATCATTGCGTTGACTTTGGGATTAATAAGAGGTATTAGAGTTAGGCTGTGTGTTCTTTGTGATTTGATAGTGATTTTTTAGAGATGACTACATTGAAATATGATATTCCGCTGTTGGAACGCAATATAAGATTTTCTTTGTGGCAAATAAAGATGAATGCTATTCTGGTGCAGTTGAATCTGGACGATGCGTTGAGTTTTGAGAAGATGCCAGCTAATTGAACAATGGAGGAGAAACTATGAGGGATTGGAAGGCTTTATCACAGATTCATCTTTATTTATCTAATAATATTCTGCAGGACATTCTGAAGGAGAAAACAACGGCTGCTTTATGATTGAAACTAAAGCAGTTATGCATGCCTAAGCAAACTGGCTCTAAAGCAAAAGCTGTATCCCATCGCATGGCAAAATGAGGGTCACCAGAAGACCACATTGCTGTGTTCATGGAAATAATTGCAGATTTAGAGACATTGGAGGTTAAGTACGATGAGGGAGACTTAACCTTGATCCTGTTGCATTCGATGCCCACCTCTTATTCTTCATTTAGGGATACCATCTTGTACAATTGTGATACTTTGGCCATTGAGAATGTTTACGATGCTCTGTTCTCAAAAGAGAATATGAAGAATTTGGTTGGAGTTACATTGAGGGATAAGGAATCTCTAGTATCTTATGTTGATCGATGACGAACTTCAGCAATTTGTGCTGCTTCTATTGCAGGAGGAAATAACACGTTAAGAAAGATTGCGATGGTTGCAGGAAAAAGGTAATTTAGCTGAAAATCATAGGGGACAATCATACAATTCTAATGAAACTAATGGTACCGAGGATTTTTCGGCTGGCGGTGATATGATGTTGATTGTCGTATCTGACGTGGAGTCTAAATCTGACGAGGAGTGAATTCTTGATTCAACATGTTCGCATCATATGTGTTTTAATTGGAATTTCTTTCAGACATATGAGGTTGCCAAGCAATGTGGAGTTGTGATGGGAAATAACCAATGTTACCATGTTGCTGGAATTGGTCGAGTCACAATAAGGTTACAGGATGGAACAGTCAGAACAATTGATTAGGTTCGATATGTTCTGGACCTGAAAAAGAATATCATTTCACTGAGTACCCTGGATGCAAAATGTTATAATCTCTCTGGTGGAGGTGGAGGTGGAGTCTTGAAGGTAGGGTGTCTGGGTTGTACTGGAGGGACGAAAGAAGTTTCAGTTATACATCTTGTAGGGAAGCGCAGAACCAGTTAAGAGACATCTGGATAAGTTTAGTACCGTGGTAAATATTCAGATTGGTACAGTACCCCTTGTAATGGGCTCTAGGTCGGTTCAGAATATTACTTAGGGGAACATTGGTAATTTCACTTTGTTATCAATTTCAAGGGATACACTGTATTCAATTGCTAGGGTTAGACTCATGTAGCGTAGGTACAATGATGTCTATAATGCTTTAGGGATCGTTGAAGGTAACAGTTCTAGCAAGGGGCTTTCTGATAAGGCATTTGGTGTGATTTCTATTACA